TATTCTTAATCAACACGTTGAGTGATTTATATTAAATTTCTGAAGAAATCAAAGGCACCTCCCTAGGTCCTGTAGTTGAGTTATTGATTTCAGACATTTGAAGTTCTTGTTTAGGGGGAAAAAAAAAAAAAAGGTTTTCCTAATGATACCTTCCTGTTTGCAGGTTGTTGGTAAATCAGGACCGACTGTCAAGAAAATTTCTGGTCTTAGCATACTCGATAACAATGCTGTGAACCTTGTCTCGGTATTTCTGACTGGTGTACTGACTTCTATTGCTTGCTTAATTATATTTTGAGATATGTAATTCAAATGAATGATATTGTCTCTATTTATTTAGAGTTACGCATGAATCATGTTGTATAAGTTTACGATCAATAAAATGCTAGAGAATTCCTCTTTAGATCATATGCAATTTTCGAACTTCTAATTGGGTGATTTATGGTAATAATTAGAGAAAGAAGAATTGTATACATCTTGTTTCATTACTTTTGTTGACATCAAAATTTTGTCTGACCTATGTTGAACAAAACATCTGTTTTTTCATGAATATCTGCAATATTAATATATGAAATGGTTAGTGAGCTCGACCACACCTCTGCGAGGACGGTTGATCACAAGTTAGAATTGTACACAAATATTTGTAAACTTAGAAAGAATTTGCTTTGTAAAATTTTTACATGGGATTGAGATGACCAAAAATGTATATAGTCGGTTAAACACGTGACATCTTTGATTTATGCTATTCGATAAGGAACAATATTCTAGCATTTTAACTTCTCTTCTTTGATATTGTTCAGTATAAATATTATGTAATTCATTTTATAATAAACGTCAACATTGTGATTCACATGTCGAGAGTCTAAGTATCTATCAATCCTGAATTCTACGCAAATGGTGTCTGTTATAGGGTGTCCGCTTTAATCGGCAGGCAATTCTTACATTGTAAAACTATTGGTTTTAGTCAAGTTTGGTTCGGTACTTTTTTGCTTCATAAGTAATTTTAAGTGTAAATTGTTGTGTAATTTTCTTATTTCACTTTTACGATTTATATTTCAAATCATAAAACTCTCAATTATTTTGAAAACATGTGAAAATTAAGATTTAACCGAGAGATTATAAGGAAATAGTTATATGGAATTGAATCAAAATTGATTATTTTAATTAACCGAGTGATTTCAAATAAAAATGTACTTCTGACAGTCTAACCTTATTTTAATTAGTTAAAGTTAAAAAGAAGAGAGCAATTTAATTTGACAATATAGAAAAATTTAATAAAATATTGTATTTAAAAAAAAAACCACACATTATAAATATTTTGTGATTAAATAATGTTATTCATCCAGTTATTAACACCCGTTAATGCAAGAGAACATTTTTCTCTCTATTTTAGCAATTACTATTCGTCATTGCAGTCGAATAAATAGGATATTCATTTGAATATTATTCAAGAACGATTTTATATGCATTTGGAAAATATTATATTACATCGATATAACTAAATTTTCATAGAATTCAATTATAATAATTTCAAATAAAAAGTTAGATGTGACGAGGAAACTTATTTTTAAGTAACTTTTTATTTGTTAAAGTTACTTTATTGACTGTACTAGAAAAATAATTTTTTCTTTTTTCAAAGATGAATTAACTTAGCACTCGTTTGGAGCTCATTATAAAAAGAAAAAAAAAAAAGGAATTTTAAATAGTATTTTTAGGAGAATGTATAATTAAAAAGTAAAGAAAAATTTTAGACTTACGTGGTAAATATTTTATTGTATGAATATGTGATTAAAAATGAAACTGTAATAATTTATTTTTATATTTTTAAACAATGGATGCCAAACAGGGATTATTACAGTTAGTGTAAGCTCTGGTCTTTACCAATAATAAATTATTTATTTTAAAACTTCAATTATACTTATAAGCGAACTTCAAAAGTTTTGGCAAACACTCCTCTGAGGTCCTCGCAGACAGCTTCGTCTTCAACCTTTGGCTTCATCACAAAAAACAAAAGCTGCACTGAAACTGCATTTGATTTTATAATCAAACATAAAATTCTACGTGATTCGAATTGCACGATATTTCTCCCCAATTGATCAAAATGGTACTTTCTTTTAGTCAATTTTTTAAGTCAAATTTCGTTCCGTCATTTTCCATTTTCCACAGTTTTGTTAATTTTAATCTTGGAATTTTCAGATCCGATTCATACTATTGCAAAACAGGCAAGGAAAAACTCGATTGGCCAAATATTACATTCCTCTTGAGGAATCCGAGAAACACAAAGTCGAATACGAGGTATTATATTATTCATCTTGCCTTTTAAAAAAAAAAAAAATTAATTTCGATATTTGAGAGGTTTAATAATTTTGTATTGGGATATTTTTCATAATTTAATGTAGGTTCACCGGTTGGTTGTAAACAGAGATCCCAAATTTACTAATTTTGTTGAGGTATGCATTTCTAGATCATTGCAGAGAATCAGTTAATTATCTATTAATTTTTTAAATTAACTTAAAGGTTTTAATTATTATTATTTATTATTTATTTTTTGTGGATTTCACCTTGCTCCTGCAAGTCTCTCTCTAATATTTAAGCTTCCTGCTGTAAGATGTAATAATCTTGTGGAAGCTACAGCATTTCAGGCACTAGTTGCATTATGATCTTGAGGTATCATGTTATTAATATTGATGGAAGCACAGGAATTCACTTAATCGAAAAATTTCCTACTTCTCTTTTCATGAGGAGCTTGAATTAGTTTCTAGTTATTGTAGTGGTCAGTGATATTCTTGAAATCTGTCAGATTAAAAGTTGAAATGTTAAATGGTACTTACTACTTAGGATTAACAGTGCTGAAACTTGAAGTAGACCAGTGACAACTTCGAGAGAACACCACAGTGTTTTGTAAAAGACTAAAAATACTAATTGATTTAATAGAAGTTGGTAATGGAGCCTTCCGACCAATATACTAAGTTTTCCATGTTCTGCTTTCTTTAGATAGCGGGATTCGTGAGCTTTATCAAAACAACAGTTTAATGGGCAAACTAAATGGGGCATTCCAAACCTTGTTTCAGCATCAAATATTTGATTGGCAAGGATAGCTAGAGAATAAAGCGTAGCATCTTCTACTGATAAGCCACCTTGTGTCTCCTTATTTTTAAGATGTGTGTCTAGTCACTTCACAAGAGTGGTGATAAAAACAGCACGTTCTTAAGGATCAACTAGTGGTCCAATCAGAAGGATTTGAAGTGCAATCTGTTAATGCACAAACGGAAGGGTTGGTGACTGTTAACCTATCCTACCCTTTCCTAGTATCTGGTCATGTCTTACCACCAAAGGACATCCCGGTTTTTCTTGTCAATGGACTCTGCAACATCGGTTCGAAATTCTTCTTCCTTTTGGCTGCTATTGCTAGCAATTCATTTCTTATATCCTTGCAGTTCCAATGTTAAGGCAGTGATAGATTAAAACCAACTCCTCTCCGTGCTTATGTGCAATGGAGGAAGTTCCTTGGTTTATAGAGAGGTGAAATCAGCAAGACATGCCATATCCATTTAAAGTGCTTTGAAGATCTTACAGACTATGATTCCTAGTGTGCAACAAGGGGTATCCACTTGGATGATTTCTTAAATTTCTATGGGAAATATTATGCATCAATGTATCTTCTTGATAATTTTGAAAGATATGAATGAAGGAAAGAAAATGTATCGAGATAACACTTTGGTCTTTATCCTTTTGTGGGTGTCTACCAAAATTAGGCTGGAAACTGCACAACTTGGAAACATTTTCAACAAGGTGTTAAGGAAATCATTACTAGCTAAGGTGTTGAATCTGCTTTGATTTAACTTGAGATGGCATGGTTGGGTTTCTTCAGTCAAATTTTTTGGATGTCCAAATTCCAATTCCCTCTTTACTCAGATAGGAAGCACAGTCTTACACAGTCATGGCATAAACTGCTACTTTGTTTACTTTTGACTTTTGATGTTTATTTTTTAATAAATTAATTGATTTGTTTAGGTATTCTTTCAGATGAAAAAGTTTGTAATGCATTCCCATATTTTTTCTCGCAGTTCCGAACTCACAAGGTTATCTATAGGCGATATGCTGGATTGTTCTTCTCACTGTGTGTTGACATGACTGACAATGAGTTGGCTTATCTGGAATCCATTCACTTGTTTGTGGAGATACTGGATCATTTTTTCAGCAATGTCTGTGAGCTAGATTTGGTATTTAATTTTCATAAGGTCTGTCACTCCTTTTGCATCGTAGATGCCTCTGAATTTGAAATATTAACTCCAGTCAATCATTTTGAGACTCAATTTTGTATGCACAGTGTAATCTTATGAGTTTTTGGCATTACATCAGGTCTTCATTACATGTTTGGCTAAGTCTAAAAAAATGTACTTTAAAATATGTCTAAGCTTAAATATTACCTTCAAGCAACCTTCTCTCTCATAAATGTTTTGCTAAAAACAAAGATTAAAAGTAATTTTGAAGTACAAAATTTCCTTTTTCAAAATTAAGTCTTTACTTGCTTTTCTTCTAGTACTTTTTCCCCCTAGGCTTCGCCAAACATACTCTGATTACAATAGAAAAGATGTCAATGTGATTTTGTGAGAGATGAAGACGTCAGTATTTTGATAGCTCTCCGCCCTTAAGAGAGAGAATTAAGTATACCGCTGCTGAGAACACTCTTTATCTCATTAATGTCATTGGCCACTGTCTATATTTTTTCTCTGCTAATTTTCCATTTCAGATTATGCGGATATATGCTTGATAAAAATCGTATTTTTATGTCGATTCATGTCCTGTTGTTTTCTAAAGGTATATCTTATCTTAGACGAGTTCATACTTGCTGGAGAACTCCAAGAAACGAGCAAGAAGGTAAGAAATGCTAAGAAGATGTAACAAATTTCTGTTACTAAGTGAATGTTGATACTTTCCCCATGTTCACAATATTTTATTAGCAGTTGTCGCATGAATACATAAAAAGTTTTTGTTATTCCAGTTTACGAACATTAATATTTGACTGAATGTCTTGTTTGATTTTTCTTTCCTTCTAAAAATGCAGGCAATCATAGAGAGAATGGGGGAATTGGAAAAGCAGGAATAGGGTTTCATGTGGTGGACAATTAACAATCTTTTTGAGCCATTTATCAACATCACTCGAAGAACACAAAAACGCTACTTGCTGTGATGATTGTCGTCTGATCAGTACTGCTTGCTCCTTATTTCTTTTGCACCCATTGTTTTCCTAATTCCGACAAGGAGACCTTGTTTACAATCCCGGAAATGCATTTGTTTGTAAATTTCTTTGGTTTTCTTGTAACGATGGTTTGTTGAACCTAAGCAAATGATAGTTGGCTCTTTTATATACATGTTATCTAGCCATACAAATGGTGATGCTTGTCTTTTCTCTTCTTGGAAATCTTAATGCCAATGCCTTCCAAATTGTCCTAGCCATTTTCCTACTGCAATAATTCTTGATAAGAGGATTGCCCATGTGGCAATTCCGCACAAAAGGTAATGGGCACGTCCTTGTACAATGCTTAAGGCTCTCAACCGAGTAATAGGAGCCACTTTAAATTTACTATGAGCAAGTGGTGATTGAGAATAATACGAGTACAGTATTGATGTGGCTGAATTTGTTCGAGAACAACTTCTATTTCTAATCAAGTTATTGAAGTAATTTTTGTTTGTTGTCATAATATATACATTAGACATCTTGGCAAAAGACATGTTTGTTAAAAAAAAAAATTAGAATCATTTTTCTTCAAAGACATTTTCAACTACACGTTTTAATGGAAATAACAAATTTTCCAATTTTTTAACCACACAAGTTAAAATCATATGGTGAGATAGGATGCAACAATTAAATTATACTATAAGAATCTCTCAATACATGAAGGAAATCTTTCTTGAGACCTAATAAATGAAATAATATTATGATATCAATAATGCCTACAGGAGAACACATCACTCTGTGTAGATTATGAGTGCCACAACGCAACATATCTCCACCATCCCATAACCGCCTGCAAAATTGTCATATCTCGACTTGAAAATGTTTGTGGATGAAGTATTGTTCATCTATTAAGTCTTGCAAGTCACACTACGCCAGAGGGAAGACGTAGCACAAGGTGTCCACCAAGAAGACTGCAAAGAGAAGAAGAAAAGAAATGATGATCTTTGTTATTGCTCTATGAGATATCATAAGTTTGGCTAAGCTTTAAATAAAGAAGGTACTTTTTGGAAAGAGAACTATGTTTTTGAAACCAAAATATAAAGATTGTAACTTCTAAAAATGCTAAAAGCCTAAAACACATTGTTAAGAAAGGTTAATGAAAAGCAACTTTAAAGTTCAGCCAAACATGTAAGAATCACTTCAATTAGATAAAAAGCTTATAGCCTACCTCTTGACATAGTAATAGCAGAAATCTGCCAGAATAAAAGTTTGGACGAGTTCTGAGAGGAGAACCAACGAAGGCCATAATCCATGGCCTAAAGCTGTTAACAAACGTCCCTCTGTATCAACTACCTGCATTCATGAAAACTAATTCATAGCCATATCATCTATATCAGGCTGTTCAATACTCCGCATAGAGTATACAAGCAAATCACAGAGATATTTTATTGTATAATTAGGTGCGAGTATGTCTTCTACATTTCGGGCATGTCTAGCAAGGTATTTATAAGAGTGGCATTTATGAGCAAAGGTATACCAGTAGTGGAGAAGCTGATAGTATTTGTGGATCTTATGAAATATATATATAAAATGTAATTTGGACTAAACGTTTATAAACACCTAGAAACAACGAGCTAAACATAGACTTCTATTTACATCTCGTGACTGTATGTCCTTTTAAATGTTGTGACAACTCTTAAAAAAAAAAAAAAAAAAAAAAAAAAAAAGAAAGAAAGAAAGAAAGAAAGCCGATTCCTTATAAAGGAAGTACAAGGAGTGTGTCAAGGAACAACTACATAGTTTACTTCAAAACTAACAACACTATGCCTTTGTTTGGCTTTACTAAAAAGTTACTGAAAAATTAATTTTTTTATCTAGACAATGTCAAACATTTATTTCAATCACATTAATAACTATTTCTCATTTATTATTTACAGCTTTCATGGGATCCATTATCACTTTCTAAAAAGTTACTAATAATTTTATACGAATAGAGCCTATATACATCTAAATGTCAATCGAGTCACAAATGAAGGTGTGGCGGACCAGTCAACGTCCCAAAAAATTATGAAAAGCGTGTATGTTACACATATCATGTATACGGTATACAACATAAGATACCTGGAGGATCCAATGGGCGCAACTTAGAAATCTTGCAACTCCTAGTGCAAAAACATAATGAGCGGTGAATGGCTCAACAATCTATCGAATATTAGACAATACAATACATAAAACGATTAGAATTAAACCGTGAAAAAGGCACGAGGATCATAAACAAGACACGAATCGCAATAAAGAAATAGGGAGACCTATATTACCTTTGTGTTTTGCATGAGGTGAAGTTGAGGGAGAACTGAAACAGCTTCCAAGTACACACAAAATGCCCAACAAATACGGTTAAAAGTATGATGCACTGTCGATGGATGGATAGCTAGAGACAACAAAGCACAAGGTATAACCTAAATCAAGGCAAAGGGAGAAGTATCACAAACTTTATAGACTTCTCAATTCTTTATGCAAATATCAGCCTTGAATTCCAAAAAGGTGACAGTTGACATTTCTCAAACAGCCCTGCTTACTGAGCCAGGCTCAGTAACAGGCTCAAAAACAGGGGCTTAGGTCATCTCAGCCGTCGATTTCACTTACTTTTTTTTTCAGATCTAAGGGCTGAGGTGGCAACACCTCGGCTTCCCTGTTTTTTAGCCAAGTTTTGCACCTGGCTGAGTAGTATTTTTCTTTCTCAAACTCCTAATTTGACCTAGAGCATGTTTGGCACTTTTAAGTAGTAAAAGTACTTATTTTCAACTTTCACCAATAATAGGTACTTATTTTTAGAGAAATGAGTAAAATTAGAAGACTTACCGTATAATAAAGAGCAAAGGTGTCTTCGTCATCCATGTAACTGGAATTTAATTTAAAGCGAATCATATAAATAACCCAACCAGTTGTTACTAACGTAGCAAGATCGAGGAGCGTGTGTATATCATACTCCATAACAAAGCTGCAGTAGAGTCGAACAGCTAAAAATATAGCCGTTAGTTCTTGTGACTTGAGTGAAAGTCCTGATAGTTAAGAGAGAGCGGAATTGTAAAATAGTGTAACAAGCAATAATTGGTGAATTAAATATGAAAGCTTTTCACATTTAAAGGGAGCATATTGTAATAGATTAAGCATAGAGAATATTATTCACCTTAATCAGGGCTGGCCTTGAAATTTTAGGGGCCTCGTGCGACATTTTAAAATGGTGCCCCTTTTGTGTAATAAAAAATATATTATAAAAAATAACTCAATAATATCATTTCATCCCAAAAATATGACATTTAAAAATTTGTTTATTTTTTACATATTGTTAATAAAAAAAATATATAACTAAAGCTCAAAAGCATTCTTCGAATTTCGTCAAAATTCATGTCATCAATAGAGAACCATCCAAACTACTAATTTCGAGGTACAATTTCACATGAGCAAATTTTGAAATAAAAAATAGCAAGTACCACGTGTAAATCCTGAAATGCAACAAATCATGTAAAAATATTTGTTCTCGCATTTTTAGAAACAAACTCACTAATTAAACTTTCATAATCAATATATTTTAGCAAATATTTTTAAATAAATATCAAAACTAACGCATTCAATCGTTCTTATAATATGGTTGATCGCAAATAAATTTTAATAGCTTTAGTTTTGAAGAACATTTTTCGACAAATGCAACAATAACAATAATTCTCAATATATAAGTAATAAATATATTCGAAAAGCAATCTAATCTTCTCAAATAAGTCAATATATCAAAAGCTATTTTTGTTTGTTTTGGTAAAAAATTTTTTTTTGCAAAAATCGAATATAATCAACTATCAGTTATCGCCTAACAAAAACTTATCCTTCTAGAACCAAAATAATTATAATAATTATTGTTTGTGACATAGTTGATCGCTAATAAGATTTTAATAGCTTTAGTTTTGAAGAACATTTTTCAACAAATGCAACAATAAAAATAATTGTCAATAGTATTCTATAAGCAATAAATATATTCGAAAAACAATTCAATATTGTCAAATAAGTCAATATATCAAAAGCTATTTTGATTTCTTTTGGTAAAAAAAAAATTTCGCAAAAATTGAATGTAATCAACTATCAGTTATCACCCAACAAAAACTTACCTTTATAAAAAAATAAAAAATCATGAAATAGCAATTCACAAGTGGACAATGGGTTCCAACAAATAGATTGTACTATTATAGAGTAAGTAATAAGAATTGACAATAAAGTTTCTTCTCTTTTTTATTTGACTATTCTTCGTGGGTTAAAGAATGAGAATGAGAGAACTGATAAAAAGGGATCTAATATTAGCTTTTCACTCTCCATTATAATCATTTGAATTTTGGGTTACTTATTTTCTTTTTAGGTTAGTAATTGATTAATGAAGGTAATTGGACATTTGATATTAGGACAAGTGAAATAGATAGTTTATAATATTTTTTGAAAGCAAGATAATTTAAATTATAAAAATATTTTTTTTCAATATATGTTAAAATAAACATTTATTTTCAATAACATGTTAAATTAAACAGATATTAACATAAAATAATTTTTTTTTACTCTTTTTTCATAAATATTGTGCCCTTTTACTTAATATAATAATAAAAATTTTAAATCTTAAAATTAATAAAACCATATGTATCATTATAAATATGTACCTCTACATATATATAGACTTATATAAAAAAAAAAAAAAAATTTGGTGTTCCTATAATGTTGAGGCCCTGTGCGATCGCTCAAGTCGCACGCCCTCAGGGCCGCTTCTGACCTTAATCCACCTATTATTATCCATCCTAATTTGTAATATGGTACACGAAACACAGCTTTAAATTATTTAAGAATGCTAATTAGACTATTCATATCAAGCTCCGTTTGGTAGTAATTTTTCACCCAAAAAAATTGATTTTTTTATTGTTATTTCACTATTCCAACTGTCATGTCTGACTTCTTCATTAACAGGTTGGACCCACTTTTCTATCTGACGATCACAAAAATCAATTCTCATAATCACTACTGAACAGACTCTAACTCTTATAACTATTGTTAGAAGTTTGGTGATCTATAAGTTTTAGCATTTGCAACCTTTATGAGGCAAGTGCTAATAATCCCACAAACGATTTAGCAGATAATAATGTAAGAATTATGTCCTCGTAGATACTAAATATTAAACTCATGACCTGTTTTCTCTTGCTCAATTTAAAATATATAAACCAAAATCCACCAAAAACAGAACATAAATAACAAACTAAATGCCGATCCACAAACCAGTATCTGCATGCATCTAACATTTTCCCATCAACAAATCTACAAAAAATTTTGTACCGGCGCAGGTTTTCTCTTGGGTGAGTTTGTAAATGAGAAGGGAAATGCCGATGGCATGAACGGCCTCGGCGGCGATGAAGAGATTATCGTGGTCCTGAACGACGAGGCCGAGGAAGACAAGGGTGGTCAAAACGGCGGCCACCGCCAGAAGCACCTGGGCTTTGGGTGGCTGCCGCTTCACCCACGTCGTCACATCCTTGATCGGCTTCTTCGGGGTGCTCCGCATTATTCTCTCCCTCAGAACAGAACTCCGACTGGTTAGAGTTTCGATATCCATATTGATTTCTGATTCAGTTTTTTCAGTTACAGATTCGAACAGTTTGATTGATTTATGAAAAATTCACCCCCAAAAAAAAGAAAAAAAAAGGAAAAGAAAGTAGAGAAAGATCGCGATGTAAATGAAATCAAGAAGCATTTGGGTGTAACAGTTTCAGAAAAAGAGGGAGTAAAAGACAACCTGTATTCGGATTGGTTCGCGTGCCTGTTACTCTACCAGATGTTATATATAGAGTTCCTGTTTGTCTCATTTTTTTAAAATTAATTTTATTCTCAAATTAATTTTTTTTATCATACATTTCATGAATTTACGACTTTTATCAATTTTTCAATTAAACATTTCATTAACTTTCAAAAATTATGTTTTGGGTCTAATCTATTTAAATTAATAAATCTCTATTTTACATGTCAAATACTGTTAGTGTGAACATTAAAGGGGCGTTTGTTTTCTATTTTTGTAAAAATGAGAATGAAAAATATAGTCGTTATAGACCCCACACAAGAGATAGAAATTCAAATTTGGTGGTTTAATGCTATGGATGACGGTCAGGAAAATAGGAAACAAACCGGGGCTAAAATCGTAAAGCGACAATTTTTAAATGATTTGATAATTTTTCCCTCCAACTTTAAGGTTGCGAACAATGTTAATGTTCGCATTGATAGTTTTCATCACATAAAAGAACCTAAATTTTCATATATAAATTCATTTGATACTCGTAGCAAAACAAGTGCAATGTTGAAGAGTCCACGCTTAATTTTCCCAGTTTTATGAACTTTTAAAAATAGTAAGTTGGCTTTTAATTTTCAGTTATTGTTGTGGTCATAGCATACAATGTGTGCATTAATTTGTCACATATTTTTCGAGAAAATTTGTTTCACTCTAAATTTTTGGTACTGAGTTAAAAGGTAAAACATACTTTTAAATTTCACCCATGTGAGGATCACATGCCAAATTAATCGAGATTTTGACCATTTTGGTAGATTGCTAGTTTTGAATATAACACTACCTTTCTGATCTAATAGTAGAATCGAGACTAATGAGTATGGATAATACTTATGGACTAGAAGAAATAGATATGGTTCAAGTATTTTCCGTATTAAGCCCATATTTGATTTTAAAAAAAAAAATAGATTTTGATTAAACTTGATAGGGTATGTGATTGTAAAAGTTGTAGGTCTCATGGAATGTATGATTAAAATTAATTGTTGATTTTAATTTTAATTTTAATCTAACTTTCTAGCTGAACCTAACATGGGCTAAGCCACTTTATTGTTAATTAATTATATGAAAGGTTAGGGCAAATTTGTTCATTTTCAAAGAATGAGAACTAACTTATTAGTGGACAATAAGTTGAACTGTGGTTGAGCAACAATCCCTTTTATTAAAGTGAAAGGAAATCCAGGCACTCGTGTCTAGGACAGGCCACGTTGCCTGAGGGTTTGAGAAGTTTACGCTCTACACTTGACAACGTTTGTCGCTCAAAAATAATAGAAGGGGTAAATTCCGTGATTTATAATTTTTAAAAGCTTATATATGAGGTGAGTTTTAAGGTTTGCGCCGGTAAAAATAACTATATATTCGGTACTAAAATTTTTACAAAACTCTACAATTTTATTGTAGAATCTATTATGTCTTCTACAAAAGCGGATATCATGTGTAAACCATGTAGAATTTGGGATATTATATAGGGCATAGTTACTAAGTTAGGAACCACTTGAGTGCCCTCACGATTAACAAGAGCTTCACCAGAATCAAAATGTCTCGACAAAGTGATGAGTGCTTCACCAGAATCAAAATGTCTTAATATGCCTATAATTCAAATCGACAAGGGTTTTGTATATTGTTCAAATAGGGATGTCAATGAACCGTAACTCAAAGTTCAGGCTTGGTTCGAGTAAAATGGTGAAGGCTTTATTGGGTTCGAGCCGAGACGAACTTTTGCTCAACCAAAAAATCGAAGATTGATCTAAACTTTAGGTTCGAGCCTTACAGAGTCGAGTCGGACTGTACTGAGCCGACCCATATTTTTTTATTATTATAATAAGTAGCAGGCAGCGTGTTAGGCAGCGTACAGCTACCTGCAAAAGACAGCATGTTGCTGCTTTATTTTTAAGGCAGCATGGTATCTTTTTTTCTTTGCAACGTGTTGTTGCCTTTTGCAGCTTTAGACCTGAGCCTTGGAGCAGGACAGCTCGACCTTTTTTTTAGCCAAGCGACGGGTGGTTCGAGCTGATGACCCAAATTGTCATCTCTAGATGGAAATGGTTAACCATGAAAAAATAAGCAAAAATAAAATGATAACAAAAAAGGGCGATGGCTGAAAAATGACTTGAGCGGCCAATCAGCCTTGTGTTGCAATTACAGTGGCCACTTTTTTGAACTAGTGTGTGACTGATTTTGTACTAGTCGGTCACCTAGACAAAAATTTGTCAGTTGAGTCTGGTGTCTTTTTGAAGGTTTTACACTCTTTTGGCTTGGTTTTTGCACATTTTCGTGCATGATGATTATAATTCTATATGTATGAGTGATTTTCATAATTGAAATGATATAAAAAACATCAAACTGATTTCATTACATCTAAAATCTAAGATCAAAAATAACTTTATAAAAATATCTGCATGGTAATTTGAACCTGCATTGCCATGTGAAATAACATGTAGATGATCATTGTAGCAACCTAGTTATTCATTAAATCTTTGTAATCAAATTTACTTAAACTTAATGTCTTAAATTATTGGGCTTTTAAATAACTTATGGCTTGAACTTTCATAACCTTAAATGGACCAAGCTTCCATAGCTTGTTTCTTAAATGTGTTATATCAACCAACTTGATAATTAAATTCACGATGGCATAGGGTCACATGTTACGGGAAACAAGTTGAGACATGATGACTATAATCCTAACCTAATTGTTTTTTATGTCATTGTACCTGCAGCGCCCATGGGGAAGCAGCCATGTATCCCACTCAGTCCCCATTAAAATTTCATATAGATTCAAAATCAACACTAGGCCTGAGCAAAAAAATAGAAAAACCGATCAAACCAATCAAACTGAATCGATTCGGGTCAGTTTGACATAAGGAATTGGTTTGGTTTGATTTTCTTTTAAAAAAAACTATTGTGGTTTGGTTCGATCGTAATTTGAAGCCTCAAACCTCTGGTTAACCGACCCAACCCAATCCACTTATATGTTTACATTTTTTTTAAGAAAAATAAAAATCAAAATAAAAATCTTAATCTCATAACTATATCACGATTCCCTCCAAACTATAATGTTGTCGATAAGTAATTACTGAAAACTTCATTTCAAAAGCTCATTATGTTATACTTAGTCTTTTTTTTCCTACTCAAGCAGTTAGGCTAAAAAAAAAAAAAGCAACAAAATTCTTAAGTTTACTGTTAATCTGTCTCTAGTAATTTGATTTTATTTGTTAGTCAATAATTCTTGTAAGGGTAATTTGCACAAAACGTCCATACCTTTCAAGTTTATTATTGAAAACACTCATACCTTTCATTTTTTGATATTTTTGTTCCTACCTTCCACATTTCTTTGCACAGAAGGTCTTTTTGACGATTTTACCCTCCATTGAAATGAAACAAAAAGAAAAGGAAAAAAAAAATAAAGAATTAATTACAATTATAGTCCCAATTTTTTTTTTTAAATTATAAATCAGCCATAATTTATTGTGAGCTAAAAATTTTTAAAATTAAATAGAGAAAAGAAACTTGAATGTACATGGAAATAATCAAGAAATAGAGAATTTTTTTTTAATCATAACCAATGGAAATGAAAAATTTTGAAGATTACATGATTTTTGCCTCAAGCCTTCCATCTACTCTTCACTGAATAAAAATTGAGCTTTATGCTTACCCATTTTTGAAGATTTTCAGTTTCATTGGCTATGGTTCAAAAATTTCCCTGTACATTTCAGTTTCCCCTTTTTATTTTTTGGGGTGATTTTAAAATTTTTAGGTTCACAATAAATTGTAATCGATTTGTCATTTTTTTTGAAATTTTGGAACTATTATTGCAATTAGTTCTTTATTTTTTTTTTCTTTTCTTTTCTTTTTGTTTTATTTGAATGGATGGCAAAATTGTCAAAAACTAATGAAAATGATCTTCTGAGCAAAGAAATGTAAAAGGTATGGGCCAAAATGCCAAAAAATAAAAGCTCGAGACGTTTTTCCACAATAAACTTGAAAGGTAGGGACGTTTTGTGTCAATTATCCATTCTTGTCATATAAAGTTATTTAGTTATTTTAGTTCTTGTTATATAATTGGGCTCATAATTTAGACAATTTTTTTAAAAAAAAAAATTCAATTTGTACTAAAAGTTCAAATCGACTAACCAAACCGAATCAAACCAAACCGATTTGATTCGATTTAAGAGTTAAAGTGGGTTGGTTTGGATTCAAATTCACCCAAATCAATTAATTTGATTTTGATTTCGGATTGGAGTTGAAATCAACCTAAACAAAATCGCGTCCAGGCCTACCCAACACGAACATTAGAAGTGAATTTGAGGGACTATTGTTATTTCTTCATTATAAAGGGTATAATACATCAAAGAATTTTGTGCTCGTAAATTCGTTCGGCGAGCAAGATATTAGAAGAATTATCATACTGCAACATGTGGAGGTGCACAAAGTCCAAAACCATTAATGTTATGCTCAGACTTGATGGAGTATTGTCGTACCCTCCCGACACGTGGATGCTACATTCAAGCCAAGTAGGAGTAAGGAATGCATATAGGGGTGTCTCTCGTCATCACAAGTCGCATGAGACCCCACGATCCACAAGCACTTCTCCAGAGTCAAAGTGCAACTCGACGTATATGAGCGTTATGCCAGGCCCATACAGTCCTGTGTCTCTCTCATAAGGAAGACCCTTGTCGATGGCTTGCCAATATACGAACCATATAGCTAGGAGAAGTTCGACAAAACCTCAACCACCTCGTTGGCCGAAGTAAACGGAGAAACTTTTGCTTTGGTGAAATCTTCCTCCCTTTCCGATATTGATTACGACGGTTAAACAAGGCACGCTCGAAGGAAGGATAGATTCCCGTTGACTCGCATTGACAAATTGCTCGCTGCGACATTAGCTTTTGCCATTCTTAAAGATCAAACGAAGAGCATACTTCATTCATTATAGACCAATGCCTCTATTGTTACAGAGTGAAGCCTTTCGAATTCAAGAATGCTTGGGCCACTTACCAGTGATTGGTCAATCAAATATTCATTAATCAAGATCAGAAAAAAATGAAGGTTTCCGTAGATAATAGTTTGATGAGAAGTTCGAAGGCAAGCGAGCACATAGCCCACCTCGAAAACATATTAACATTCTTGACACTCCCAAATGAAGCTCAGTCAACTGAAGTGTGCATTTGGGGTTGCATCGAGCAAGCTTTTAGGATTCCTTATTAACGAAAAAGGAATTAACGACAATCCAGAAAATATTAAGGTTTCGCTAGAAATGAGATCTTCACAAAAGTAGAAGGAAGTGTAAAGCCTAATTGGGAGGATAGCGGCGATTAGTGACTTTGTCTCGAAGTCTACTGACTAATGTCTACGTTTCTTTAAAATCAAATAAGGGAAGAAATTTGAATGAAACTCGAAATGTGAAGAGATCTCTGTGGCCCTAAAGAAACATCTCAATCAAACTCTTCCACTGTCTAAACCAGTTCAATTGCAAATATATTTGGTTGTCATGTTAATTGCAAATATATTTGGTTGTCATGTTATGGGCCACTAGTGTTGTACTAGCATAGACTGAAGGAATGTCTATCTAGTTTGTTAGTCAAGCCGCCTTTCAAGATGTCGAGATATCCAGACATGGTGGAAGGAATATGCGGAGTACCTGAATGAGTTTTGCTTTTCGGCGGCTATCCAAGCTAGTTTCAAATAAAAAATATGTGGTTGCCGTTTATTTTGAATCTGTTGTCTGGTTTGGATGTGCATTGATTAATTTATTTCTGAATATGGTTTGTTTCTTGGGCAACAATCGCACTTGAGTCGCGTCATCAAGAGTGATTTGTGTTTGGATGCTAGTGAGGGGCGTAGCCCCAGTATGTTAAAGGTGATTCCGGTCGCAGGGGTGGACACGTAGGTTCTTGCAATGGAGTCATTGGCGAAAGGCGACAGTGGCAGTGGAAACGATAGTTTTGTATGACGTTTAGTTTTGAAAAAAAATGAGCTCTCTAAAAGTTTTTGCACCAACTATTCTTAAAAATTACCCTTCAAAAAAAGTTCTAAAAATTTCATCCGCTCATTGTGTAAAATAATTTATGTTAGATATTTTTCATTATTTTGCATGTATTTATTTTTTGTTTTGCGAATGATTTGCCGCCCCGACTAGTGTTTTTTATTCTTCTTTCTTTCTCTTGGCATCAATCAGTTATTTTCGAGTGTTTTCTTGGTTTGATCAAATAGTCACAATTTGAATCAAACGTCTCCATTGTATCCCGAGAGAGATTTTTTATCATACCCCAATTGTGACTTTATTGGATAGGGGAGAAACATCTCTTAAAAGATAACGTTTTTTCGTGCGTTGGAGTTCATTAAGTATTCAGATTTTCTTACATTTTTCTCAACAATTTATATATCTTATAAATTTAATAATTAATTTTTTTAGGAAAAAAATGCAGAAATGTAATAATGATCATTAGACAATTTGTAATATGAATTATACACCATAACAGGAAAGAAAATGAATTGGCCTTTCTCAAAAAAAATTATTATGACTTGTGATAAATAAAATTTATCCATGTTTGGTTTAGCCTAAAATTTGGATTAAAATTTAAGTCGATGTTATTAATTAACTATAACTATCACATTTCATAGTATCTAAAACTTTTCAAAGACAAATTTCATCAACTTTTATCAAAATCTACTAAAAATTTAATTTTTATCTAAGTTGGGTTAAACTAGTTTTCTCATATACCATCAACTTGATTAGCTGATATATAGTGATTTCATATTTAATTATTCCAAAATCAATACACACACAGATATATATAATATGAAAGTATTGCCATCTAAATTATTAAAATCAAAACTAGTTAACTAACTAAATAATCATCGCATTAAATATACAAGTTTCATCTTTATTTCAGCAGCTATAGGATTCTTTCTACACCACCAACAATTCCAAGAAAAAATTAAATAAAAAAAGACGGAATTTTTTTTCACTACCTTGACCAAAACATACAAATCATAGAAAAATTGATTGAATCTTCATACGTACTGAATATACTATGAAGTACAATCGAAGTAGTTAGAATATAACTTTTCACCACTGTCATAATTGAGACTAAAAAGCACGAAACCAGCTCGACTGAATAGAAGACTGATACTGAACCATAACTAGAAGAAACACCAACAGCAGCAAGAGACCCCATGGAGCACTACCCTCTTGACGTACAGTTTCATATGCTGGTGGTGAAATTCCGGCGTAGAACCACCACCTGTTATCCACCATGAAATTCAACATCAAAATCACCAAAAGTGGCAAAAGAAAAAATAGCAGCTTGAGATTCATCTTGCTTTTCTCCACTTCTGCCTTGTAATGTGAATAACTTGCAAGAAACATTAACATAATCAGCAAACCAAAAAACACCAGCAAAGGCAAAGGAGGTGCAGCTATTGAATCTAGGGTTTGATCTCTCCAGCTCACTCCCCTTCTTCCTCTCATGAACCACCCCATAATTTTATTTTTTTTTTGGTTTCTTTCTCGTCAAGAATTCTCTCTGAGTTTTCTTGAAATTTTGTGGGATGTTATACGAATGGATGAATGTATCAGAATAAGGTTATGGGCCATAAGAATATATAGAAAAAGCAATGTGTGAGGTTGTGTGCGTATGTGATTCGGCATAAATTCTGCGATTGGAGTTTATCGCCAAACCGACTTTTAAAAGAATCGATACGGATAAGGCAGTTAACATTTTATGAAGTAATGAATGGCCAAAGAATATATTCTTACGTCTCTATCATTTCCATGCACAGTTACAAAACGTACATGGTAAAATTAAGGGAAAATTGCAGAGCGGTCCCTAATCTTTCATTTTTGCAGACTTTACCTTAACCTTCATTTTATGCTAACGAAGTTTCCTAACATTCCATAAATATGCACTTAAAGTCCATCTGGATGGGAACCGTCCAAAACACCATTAGTTGATCGGAAAAATTAAAGAATCAACATCCAATAAAACGGTCAAAAATCTCGTCCAAAAAGGTATCAACATCCAATAAAAATCATTGCGGTAGCAGATAGTTCAAGGAATTTTTCTGATTAACTGATAGTGTTTTGGATAGTTTCCATCCAGATAAACCTCAGGTATATATTTATGAAAGGTTAGGGACTTTTGTTGACACAAAATGAAAGTTAGGTTAAAGTCTGTAAAAAATGAAAAGGTTAAAAACCGCTACTGCAATTTTCCCTAAAATGAATGTAAATAATTAAGCATAATTAATTATATAGATGTATTAGACTACATGTATTAAAAATGTCAGCCCATATATGAGAATAACTTATAAATGATTTAATTTATAATATAATGACGCGACGAATAAGTGGACAGTTTTTGTGAATTCATTGAAATATATGTTGAAAATAAAGTTTGACCGTTTATAAACGATTTTTAAAGTTTGCCAAATCAAGCAAATTGTCCATAAACTAAGGTTGGTCAAACTTTCATTGATGACAATATTGATATTGTCTATTCTAACTTTATTTTACAGCTAATGATAGGCTGCTTTCTTCTTATTTCTCATCTTTTATTCAATAGTCGGCCATCTCTAAAATATAGAAAATAATTTATTTATTTTTCAAAAATTTCTTTTTATTACATCATCTTCAAAATCTTGTTCTTAGATTCTTATTAATATTTTAGAAATTAAAAAGCTACTATTTATTTACTGGAATGATCGGGAGGCTGCAAGGTTGATGCTTTGTTGGGGAGTATCTTTCAAGTAAATTGATGGAAGCTAATGTCAAAATCTCTCCCATATCTTTTAGAAATTTGGAAGTTAATTAATGTCAAATCTCTTAACACCTGTGAGATTTTGGAAAATATGCTTCATAATTATTATTCTTATCACCCACGTATATATATGTGTGTCCAAAAATAAAAGGAAGTTCCCCTTATTTTTCTTCATGACTATGATGGTGGTGTCCACACTTATTCAAAAGATGAAATCACTGATTTTTGAAAAACTTGTCTTAAATTTTCTTGATTTAGTATCTCAATAATCCACCTGTAAATAGCTTGTCTCGACGACACTTTACAGGCATACAAGGAGACAAGTGTCCCAATGAGTTCTTAAATGTGGCCGTCCAAAATTAGTGCTTACATATGGCTTAATTTGACTGGAAAAATGTCAAGGCTGTCTGTGAAGCATATTTTTAGTGTAATGATAAGCAGACAGACAGAAAGATAGGGAATTAAAAAACAGGCTAATGTGTCAACAAGTTATTGGGTATTTTTTTTTTTTTTTCAAATTCTCCAATCATAAATCGACACGTGTGTAGCCTATTTTTAACCCTATAATTCACCATGTTTCTGTAGCAAAACTCATATTTTTATTGGGGAGTCAAACCTGAGTTAGTTATATTGGAGAATGAAACTTCAGTTCAGTGATGATTTTATTTCAATCCATTGGCGGTGGGACAAGCACACTAAAAATAGGGTCTCAACAAGGAAATGTCAAAATCAACGCTGGAACGATTTAACCCGTTTGATCACAAAAATTGAGAATTCAATTCGTCAATCCAATCTAGAACTGATGAGTTTGTGCTTAAAATTGATCGATTCACATACAAGGACAATTCCATTTGTACTGAATGGAATGTACCGAAAGTTGCCCCCCTCTCACAGTACATGCGGGGCCCATATGAATATAGAAATCCCCAAACGTGGTCCACACCCCTTATTGTGAATAGTAGATAAAAAATTATATAAAAAATTTATGTACATATAATATTGTCCCCACATACAATTAGTCAGTGTTCAAACATGATACAACAAAGTAGCTCAATGTGAGAGTGTCAAGACCTGCTGGATAATTCAAACATAAGATAGCCTTTTACACCTCAGAAAAATTGAAAAAGATGGACTTTGCACGGGCTTCCTCGAACCAGGAAATGTAGGCCTAATTTACATTTGTTCTTGCTAAGCATCTTCTCGAATACATTTGTGTTGAAAAACGAATATGATATTAAATTACTCTAATACCGGTTGGTTGAAGAAAATATGATATTATAGGCTCAATATAAAGTAGTTGATCACAAGAACAAAATAATTTATAGAGTAAATGAGATTTCACTAAAATATAAAGAAAAAGGATACGAAAATTTTGTATTTATAAATAATGTCTAACTTGTAATGAGGTTAAATAACCAAACTAAATTGGAAAAAAAAAGAAGACAAATATATAGGGACGTCCAAAACCCTAAATTAGAGTTATAAATGAAAAAGAATGCTCAAAATGCGAAAATGGGTTTGGACTGTATAAGCTACCCTCGAGCTCCAGGAGAGTGGTGTTTGCTCCACCTGAGAGTTAGGCAGGCGCCAACTCTCGAGACAGAATTGCGATAGCATTGTTCAAGCGGTAAGCTAGCGAAAAAGCGTTAAAAATGTCTTCCAAGTCCATATCTTGACCTCATCAAATCCAACACAAATTCTAACTCCCCATTGGACTTCAAAATAGAAATTCAACTAGAATTTGCCAAATAGGATTTCAAATAGAATTCAGTCACACATTAATTATAACAAACTTCACATTGACACGAACTCCACTGCAATGAACAAACGTAAAGATTCTTTACGTGAATACAAATTTCATTATAAGAAATAAACTTCAACTCTTCAATAGAAAAACAAATGAAATTCTCATCAAAATTCCCAACTAAAAATATTCTCCACAATTTTGTACCTATCTAGAACAAAACTCAATAATTACTTATCAACAATATTCCAAACGCTGGGCTTGGACATTACCAAACAAGGCAGAAACAAGCCATGAAATAGAATCACCACAATTAAATGCATCAAAAGAAGGATCTTGACTAAAATTAGCACCCTTAGCTGCATTCAAACCATAATCTACTAAATCAATAGCATTATACCTATATAGAGGCTTATGATAAAAAATGGGTATGTTACCAGCAATTGAATACAATGGCACCGATGATAATGATGGCAAAGCGACATTACCCATGACATTTAAATTTAACTAAGATGTATTTTTCAAAGAATACCCTAAACTAGACCCCAATAGTATAGAATCCAACTCCAAATCTACCCAAGTTCTTAAAATATGCTGATTTATCAAAAATTCTATATAACACTACAAGACATATAATTGGATTCCTATGCCCCTTCAACAAAATATGGAATTCTTTACTAATCTTCAAGAGTTTGGTTGTACTATTTTGAATAAAGAACTTAAGGAGATAAGATTTCTCTTCAAAATTGAAACGTGTCTCACTACATCGACCGTCCTATTAAATATCTTTATTCTAACCCAGTTAATACCAGCAATCCTATAACGTGTATAATTTCCCATTACTACAACATCTTTGAAACTGTTTCATATGCTGAAAAATGAATTTCGATTGGGACACATATTAAAAGTATAAGTTGTATGAAAAATCCAATCCTCGTCATGTTTGGCGTCATACTCAGAAATAAATAGAGGTTCTTCATTATTGTGATAGTTTTTTGAAATATTGACTTCTTGTAGAGTTTTTGATTGCTGATTTGCTACTAATTTTTCTTTATTCTGCAACTTATGATAATCCTTTATCAAGTGCCCATTTTTCTTGTAATAATTACAAAATTTGAAGTTATACTTTAATTTGCTGTTTGCACAACCACCATCAACCATGAGGTCATTTCCATGAACCTCAGATTCAGTAAAATACTTTATCTTCTCCTTCGAATATAGAGTATTATAGATTTTTTCAATGGTAAGAAATCATAACTATATAAGATTGTATCTCTAAAAGATATATATGAAGCATGCAACGAAGAAAACAAAATCAAACCCAAATTCTTTTCATCATATTTAATCTCGAAGGTTTTTGTATCAGTGACGATTTCCTTAAAAACAGTTAGGTGATCTATAAGAGATGTTCATTCTCTCATACGATGAGAATATGGCACTGCTTCAGATGCAATTTACTAGTTAAACTCTTCGTCATACATAATTGCTCCAATTTCAATCATAATGCAGCGACTGACTTCTCTTTCAAAAGATCGTGAAGAATATTATTCGAAATATGAAGATGAATTTGAGATAGGGCATTTTGATCCATCCACTGTTTCTCCTCTAGCATCCAAGGTGTGACCATCTTTTCAAAACCCAACAACGAGTTGTCCAAATTCATCTGAGTGAGTATTGCTTGTATCTTTACCTGCCACAACAAAAGTAATGTGTTGCGATCCAAATATAGAATATTGTACTTTATGATTGTCATCACAAAATATCAAGTTGAGCTATTAACTTGATCAAAACTCGATCTCCCAAGAATTTCCAAGCTTTTGACTTTGATACCAGTTTGTTGCAAAAATGAAATGACATCAGATTACTTGGATACCAATTTTTTGAATGATATTATAGGCACAATATGAAAAAGTTGATCACAGGAATACAAGAACAAAATAATTTGCAGAATAAAGAAGATTTCGCTAGATTCTGGAGAAAAAGAATATAAAGATTTTGTCTTTACAAATAATGTCTAACTTGTAATAAGGTTAAACAATTTAACTAAATTGTAGATAAGAGCCAAATATATATAGGGGCGTCCAAAACCCTAAAAGTAGAGTTATAGATGGAAATGAAT